GTGTGTGAGAATGTGGAGACACTGATGGATCGTTGGAGCTATGTGCCGCTCAAGGCATATATGCTCGAACGTGTGCTGCCTTGACGCTGCAATCATGTAGCGCGTACTATCCGTGCTGAGTGCGCTGACTTTTCGTACAATGTCCCACTGTCTGGCTACCTGCATAAAGTCAAGTGCTCGGCGCAGTTGTCGGCGAAATGTCATTGAAACAGCTCCTTATATCCGTTAGCGCAGCTAGCTAGCACCAGATGCTAACAACAACAACACGTAAGGTGTGCCTCGCTCGCGCGAGTCGCGCCACACATACACACTCCCTCCCGGTCCTCCCGATGGCCAGTCCGGGCCTGCCGGTGAGCGTGGAAGTGTGGTCTGCCACAAGCGGGCGGCAGGAGCGGGCTGTCAGCATCAGCTTGTAGATGGTATTTTAAACTCGATGCGCTCTGAAACTACGGGGCGGCCGAGGACAAAAAATACACATGCGTTAATCGCGTTAAAATAATTAGTGGCGTTAATTTTTTTTTGCGTTAACGCGTTATTAACGCGTTAACTTGACAACCCTAATAATCATACATAAATAACATAGTGAAAATAAATATATTGCAATGCTCAAAACAGCAGCATCCAACCCTCTCTAATCATAAAAAATAAAAAAATACAAATAAATGTATTGCAGTGTGCAAAACAGCAGCATCCAACAGTCTCTAATCCTTGGATATGACATGTCACTGCATGCATGCAGCAACCGTAGCGCGGAGATCAACGTATCATTCTGTCTAATATTCCCCCCCCCCCCCCCATCAGCGCGAGTGAGTGACGAGTTGTGTACAGACCCGACGGGTAATAATGGATTATGACGAAAATGTTACGATCCTGTCCGTCAAAATGACTGATGGTGAAAAGGTCTAACGCCACCAATGCTTGGGAGAAAGAAACGAGGCGATATTTGTGACCATTTTCGCTACAATGAGGCGGAGAAAAAAAGTGAATGCATTGTTTTATCAGAAGGGAAGCAATGTGGCCATAACACAGCTGGTAAAAACACCACAAACCTGAGCTGCATTCTTAATCATTCAACCCGTGTTTTTCATCAAATAAGGATAAGATATAATCTTATTGGGAAATATGTTTGACTAAAATAACAAATTGTTGGTTTTGGCTAGACTAGTTTGACTGAAGTTTTCTATATAATCTGATGACTAAAAAAGACTCAAATGTCAACAGTTTTCATAAACAAAAAGTGGACTAAAATGCTCAGACTTTTAGCCGACTAAATCTTGACTAAAATAGTTACTGTTTTCTTTGACTAAAATAAGACTAAAATGCTCAAACTAAATGTTAATTTTGTCAGCTATTTTTTTATTTAGTCTTACTCTTAGTCCTGTATCAAATGTCCTTGTTAGTTTTAGTCATATTTAGTCACCTTCATCCAGTTTTTATTTAGTCAAGTTTTAGTCGACTAAAAGGTTCAGAAGACTCCTGGACACACACCTCGGATCAAATTTATATCCCAGCAGCCCCACAGTGCTCGTCCCCCTCACCTGACCGCCCCCCGCCTCCTCCTCTCCTCTCCCCCCTATTTATCTTGAGCCAATCTTTGTCCTCACAGTCTTGGCACTCAGTTTCAAACCAAATGTACTTTCTTATCACACTCCTCATTTTGTGTTTGCCCACTTCGGCCCAATCGTAGCGCAACACCCCGTGGTTATGTCATCTGTGCACCTTATTTAAAATGTGGACCAAGGTGTTACGGCTGGAGGGCAAGGTACGCAGGACCCAAATGCAGAAAATAGGTTTGAAAGCAGGAATCCTTTATTTCCAGAACTAGGCCAGGCAAACAAAGTCAAAACTAGACAAGGCAAAACATAAAGTCACTCAGAACATAAACCCTTCCAAGGTGAACACTATCGGGTGATCAAGCAGGATGGAACACAGAGACAGGAAGCAACAGACAAGACGGGGGGTGAACACTTTTCAAAATAAACAGGAAACCAGAGACAGATCTAGACAGGACAAAATCAAACAGCTCCGGAGGACTGGCAGGAAGGCGGCGTAGGACGCGATGAGGCCCCTCCGGGGTCAGCTGGATCGCCGGAGCAGGAGCTGGTGGGACCCCCGGCGGGACAGGAACCGGAGCCGGCGGGACAGGTGTAGACGGAACCCCCGACGGGACAGGCGTAGACGGGACCCCGGGTCTATCTGCTCCCAGTGTAGATGTACTGTTTTATGAGTACTGGATTTCAATTCAAGGGTGACATTTCCAACAAAAAACAAATATAAACCACAGTCTAACAAGAACAGCTAATGTCAATAAACAGAAACATTTCACAAAATTGCATTAGCTTGAGGGCAAATTAAAGATGAAAAGATAAGCTAACAAAAGTCTATTAAATGTTCATTATCTCAATTTGTTTTAAAGATTTTCCTAACGAGTTTGTAGTGTCAAAACACATTTTTAATGTACAGCAAGATGTTCCTTTAGTAATCTATGGTCCCATTTACAGTACATAGACAATAAAGGACGTGCTTGGCTTCCTCTCCTTAGACCTTAATCCCTTTTACAGTGTTTTATTTAGTTAATTAAGGTGTATTGTAAAATGTCTTGTTTCAGTGTTGGGTTATACTTAGCTTCAGCCTCTCGTGTCATATCTGCTTCCAAAAAAACGACATGTCAATAGTCCAAATGCCAAACTCAAGGCTTATTCTGCAATCCACTGACTTCACAGTGATTATGTCCAATTCTTATCTAAAGTGTATTGTGCTTTTCCTTAAACACACATTGCCAAACAATCTCTCAATAAGATTTCCATCAAAATAAGACACACAAACTGTAGCTTTTACCAGTTAACCTCTGCATAGATACGGGCAATCTGAGAACACTTGTCAACTACAAACATTGACAGTAGTTCAAAGACCACTGTTTTGGTCAAAATGAGATTAAGTACCTGATAAGAGAGTGATTTCTGACCCTCATAAACCTTAGTCCCGCCTCCAAATCCCTTTGATGTGGCACCTGCCACTCTGACATCTCTGACATTTGACCCTCTTATCTTTTATGACTTGTTTGTTTATTGTTTTATTGCCCCTCATAAAAGATGTTGCTCAATAATGGGGTGATAAGACTTTATTGCCCCTTTGATGTGAAACCTGTTATAGTGTCCTTAGTAGGTCATTGTCAACGATGAAACCAATATAGTCAATGATGATAGTATGACTTGTTTAGCTGTTTATTGTTTTATTGCCCTCCTCATAAAGGATGTTGCTCAATAGGGGGTGATAAGACTATTTGATGTGACACCTGTTGTAGTATCCCCCTAGTAAGCCATTATAGTCAATGATGATAGTATGACTTGTTTTGGTCACCTGTTGTGGTTGTAATGCCCTCTATATGGATGTTGCTCAATAGGGGGTGATACGACTATTGCCCCTTTGATGTGACACAGACCATATGTAGAGACAAATGGTAGCAATTCTCACAATGTAAAATAATAATTGCCTTAAATACATTGAAATGTGAAAGCTGACAAAAAAATCATGTTGCTTAGTCAAATCGAAATTTAACTTTTTAAAAGCAAGGAACACTCAAATTCCCTGATGTCAGTATTTAGTCATGTTTAATGGAATGTATATCAGTGTATTATAGTTGTTACTTTATCTATTTAAACCACAATGTTTCTCGATTCTTTGTACAGTATGAAAGGGGTCTTTGTACCTTTGACTCCATGCTGAAGTTCACTGCCAACTCTCACTGCTGTCATATAACCTTATATTACCACAAAAGAGTCAATAAGTAATATTAACCCACTATTAAAGAACATTACCTTATAGAGGGCATTACAATCACAAGAGGTGACCGAAACAAGTCATACTATAGTCATTGACTATAATGGCTTACTAGGGGGATAATACAACAGGTGTCACATCAAAGGGGCAATAGTCTTATCACCCCCTATTGAGCAACATCCTTTATGAGTAGGGCAATAAAACAATAAACAGCTAAACAAGTCATACTATCATCATTGACTATAATGGTTTAATCGTTGACTATAATGACCTACTAAGGACACTATAACAGGTTTCACATCAAAGGGGCAATAAAGTCTTATAACCCCACTATTGAGCAACATCTTTTATGAGGGGCAATAAAACAATAAACAAACAAGTCATGAAAGATAAGAGGGTCAAAGGTCAGAGATGTCAGAGTGACAGGTGCCACATCAAAGGGATTTGGAGGTGGGACTAAGGTTTATGGGGGTCATAAATCACTCTCTTATCAGGTACTTAATCTCATTTTGAGCAAAACAGTGGTCTTTCAACTAATGTCAATGTTTGTAGTTGACAAGACTTCTTAGATTGCCCGTATCTAGAGGTTAACTGGTAAAAGCTACAGTTTGTGTGTCTTATTTTGATGGAAATCTTATTGAGAGATTGTTTGGCAATGTGTGTTTAAAGAAAAGCACAATACACTTTAGATAAGAATTGGACATAATCACTGTGAAGTCAGTGGATTGCAGAATAAGCCTTGAGTTTGGCATTTGGACTATTGACATGTGGTTTTTTTGGAAGCAGATATGACACGAGAGGCTGAAGCTAAGTATAACCCAACACTGAAACAAGACACCGTCTTGCTGTACATTAAAAATGTGTTTTGAAACTACAAACTCGTTAGGAAAATCTTTAAAACAAATTGAGATAATGAACATTTAATAGACTTGTTAGCTTATCTTTTCAAAACCAAGGGTTGCCACTTAATTTGCCCTCAAGCTAATGCAATTTTGTGAAATGTTTCTGTTTATTGACATTAGCTGTTCTTGTTTGACTGTGGTTTATATTTGTGTTTTGTTGGAAATGTCACCCCTGAATTGAAATCCAGTACTCATAAAACAGTACATCTACACTGGGAGCAGATAGACAATAATAAACACACTGTTGCATCACAAAATGCAAAACATTTTTATTGTTTGAGCTTTGACATCTCACATCTCGCATGTTGTATTCATTCTCCCTCGGCTTCTCCTTGTGTCTCACTCACAGCCTCTCTTCCGCTGCCTCTCTCTTCAACACTCCCCACCGCCACCTCCTGTCTCCTTCAATTTCAATCTCTCTCTGATTTCCCCTCTCCTGTAGTTCTGTGATGGGAGATCACAGCCTAGGAGTATGTGGAGAGAACATCGTTGATCCAGGGCATCAGAGAGCAGACTTTGGTGTAAACGCCCGGGTAGTTGGGTTGAGCGCAGCCATGGCCCCAGGACACGACACCCTGCAGCTCTCCGTTACACACCAGAGGACCACCAGAGTCACCCTGAGCAGGAGAGAGACATCACTTTATTCCCTCCACCTCATTCAATATAACCTCATTGTATGTGCCGAGTAATTGTTTGAAAATACCTGACAAGCATCCTTGCCTCCCTCCAGGTATCCAACGCACACCATGCGGTCAGTGATCAGGCCGGGGTAGGAGCCATCGCAGTCCTTGTGAGAAAGGATGGGGACTTCCACACACTGGAGGTAAAATGGGTTGAAGACTGCAGATAAGAGCGAGACAAAATGATTAGGAGGGACACAAAAAACACCCCAATTCAACTTTATATCATGTGTTCAAATGCACCGATGTATTAGTGACTCCAGACTATCAGAAACATGCATTATTGATTGTACTGTATATAGCATCACTCTTTTCCAGCTTGATTTATCAAATTACATGTTTTCTGTAAATATGTTTACCTTAAATGGCCAACATCACCATCTATTAGTTTTAAATAATCTGCCATAAGTGCTATCATACTACAGTAACCATAACTAGCTAGGACACGTTTGGCTTTGAATTTTGAATACTATATAGTCATTTCATGCAGTATGTAGCCATCAAGTGCATTGCCAACATTATACTGGCTTCACTCGTTTTGTAGGATGGTTCCTAACTGAGGGAAAGGATCCAGCAGCCATTATAAAAGATTGGCGAATCCTTTTGAACGGTAGGGAAATGTGCTTTAATGTTTCCTCTCATCATAGGGTGAGCTACAATATTCTGTTAGTCCTCAAGCAAACTGTATACATCACGTTTGCTCTCAAATACATTCTTATGAGACAGTCTTAAGCATTAGATCAGGGGTACTCAAATACAAATGTTAAAGGTCCAAAAAAAATGTTTCAATAAGACAAAGGTCCGTTTATTACGGTCATTCAAACTTTTAAACAATTGCAACAAGATTCTTAACACGAGGTTGCAAAAACAAAAATAATCTGTATGCAGCAGTTTTCATTCTTATTGTGTCTGAGCTTGATCCCTCAGAGTCGCAGTGTAAGAGCTGCACAGTTATGAATAAAGGCAGCTGCACCCTCTTTCATTCAGCATTCCCATTATTGCTTTATAAATGTCTTGCCCCCTTGTGTGTCCACTGAGGTTCGTCAGGCCTAACACATCTTCAACAAACTCCCCCTTTGCCTCATCATAAAAACTCACAAACACCAGCAACTGAACATTGTCAGTGGTGTCAGTGGACTCATCCACAGCTAAGGAAATGCACTGTGCATTTTTTATTCCATCACAAAGCTGATTAATCAAATCACCAGCCAGTATTTATGTTCTTCTGGTTGCTGTGGAATCTGAGAGGGGGATTTGCTTGATTTGACCTGTTATTTCCTCTTTTTGTTTGCCTTCAAACATGGTCTCCATCATTTCAGTCATGCATTCTTATATACTTCAGTTATTATCCAGTGGAATGTCCTTACATACTGGCCTAGTTAAATCAAAGTGGTTACACCACAACTTTTCTTTCAAAACAAAGCTGCCAACTGGGGTGGCTGCTGGGGTGGCAAGGCCTATTTTTAGGGTGGCAGTTGCCACCCCATGTCACCCCGGTAGGTGAAACTAGGCTACTAGCTACAGTACAGATGCAACTAGATGAGCTGTTAACTCTCGCTCTGACTTTTTTTTTTAAACTCTCGCTCTGACTCAGACAGGTTGAAAGAGACGACACGACACACGCATTTTTCCCACCCGCATTCCGCGAAGACCCGCCCTACTGTGCCTCTCATTCGCAGACTGTTGGTGGGGGGGGGAAACGCTGACGGGATGCTGAATGTGATTGGACCAATGCGTTGACAGACACACACAGACAGTGGAACAGTCTGACATGCAGAGCACTGTATGCAGTGGACATAGCGGAGAATTTTGACTCGTTGCGTTGTGGCGATGTCTCGCAAATAACACAGATAATACAGATAATACATATGAAAAGTATAATTTGCTCAGAGTCCAGAGACAGTTGTGGTTCGGTCCGGATCCGTACCGGAGTCCGGACTTTAAGGATGCCTGCATTAGATGATTGCTTACTGTTATCTTTTTTCCTCTTGGTACATGTTTTATTTCATAAAGGTTTTATAGGTTTTTGCGCCAGTAGCTATGGTGGTCTGTTGCATCCGAGGTAGATGAATTAACAGCAGTTAAGAAACTACTGTTATCAATACTCAATGGTTTATTAAAGGCTGTGTTTATATTATGATTTAAACCTATGGAAGGCCATATGGTGCTATATTTTATCAAGTTGTTTTTCTTCATTTTTTATTTCATAAAGGTTTTATAATCTTTAGCGGCAGTAGCTAAGCATGGTGGTCTGTTGCAAGTGAAGTAGTCCACTTAAACTTAAACTTGGGGGTTCCAATGGGGGTCCGCCGACTACTATTCTGCCGGGGGTCCTGCCAACTCCTTGTCCTGTTCCGTTGGGGGTCCCGCCAACACCTGTCCTGTTGGGGGTCCTGCTGATACCGGCCCATGTTCCGTCCAGGGTCCCGTCTATGCCTGTCCCGTCGGGGGTTCCGTCTACACCTGTCCCGCCGGCTCCGGTTCCTGTCCCGCCGGGGGTCCCACCAGCTCCTGCTCCGGCGATCCAGCTGACCCCGGAGGGGCCTCATTGCGCCCTACGCCGCCTTCCTGCCCGTCCTCCGGAGCTGTTTGATTTTGTCCTGTCTGTCTCTGGTTTCCTGTTTTATTTTGAAAAGTGTTCACCCCCCGTCTTGTCTGTTGCTTCCTGTCTCTGTGTTCCATCCTGCTTGATTACCCGATAGTGTTCACCTTGTGCCCCTGCATTTTCTCCTCCCTTCCCACCTGTGTCTTGTTCATGTGATTAGTCTTGTGTGCATTTCAGTTCTGGTTTTTCTGTCTGTCATGGTGAGATTCTTAACGTTGTTGGAAGGGTTTATGTTCTGAGTGACTTTATGTTTTGCCTTGCCTAGTTTTGACTTTGTTTGCCTGGCCGAGTTCTGGAAATAAAGGATTCCTGCTTTCAAACCTATTTTCTGCATTTGGGTCCTGCGTACCTTGCCCTCCAGTCGTAACACCTTGGTCCACATTTTAAATAAGGTGCACAGATGACATAACCACGGGGTGTTGCGCTAAGATTGGGCCGAAGTGGGCAAACACAAAATGAGGAGTGTGATAAGAAAGTACATTTGGTTTGAAACTGAGTGCCAAGACTGTGAGGACACAGATTGGGTCAAGAGAAATAGGGGGGAGAGGAGAGGAGGAGGCGGGGGGGCGGTCAGGTGAGGGGGACGAGCACTGTGGGGCTGCTGGGATATAAATTTGAGCCGAGGTGTGTGTCCAGGAGTCTTCTGAACATTCACCTGACACCATGAAACTCCTGGCTCTGCTGCTGCTGATCGGAGCTGCTGGTAAATACACAGTAATACAATAGTGTTTATTTTTTTATTTAGTCTTAGTCCTTTATCAAATGTCCTTGTTAGTTTTAGTCATATTTAGTCACCTTCATCCTGTTTTCATTTAGTCAAGTTTTAGTCGACTAAAAGTCTGAGCATTTTAGTCTTATTTTAGTCAAAGAAAACAGTAACTATTTTAGTCAAGATTTAGTCGACTAAAAGTCTGAGCATTTTAGTGTACTTTTTGTTAATGAAAACTGTTGACATTTGAGTCTTTTTTAGTCATCAGATTATATAGAAAACTTCAGTCAAACTAGTCTAGCCAAAACCAACAATTTGTCATTTTAGTCAAACTTATTTCCCAATAAGATTATAGCTTATCCTTATTTGATGAAAAACACAGGTTGAATGATTAAGAATGCAGCATTGCAGAGATGATCTGGTCAGGTTTGTGGTGTTTTTACCAGCTGTGTTATGGCCACATTGCTTCCCTTCTGATAAAACAATGCATTCACTTTTTTTCTCCGCCTCATTGTAGCGAAAATGGGCCCAAATATCGCCTCGTTTCTTTCTCCCAAGCAGTGGTGGCGTTAGACTTTTTCATTATCAGTCATTTTGACGGACAGGATCGTAAGATTTCCGTCATAATCCATTATTACCCGTCGGATCTGTACACAACTCGTCACTCACTCGCGCTGACGGGGGGGGGGGGGGGGGGGGGTATTTGACAGAATGATATGATGATCTCCGCGCTACGGGTTCTGCATGCATGCAGTGACATGTCATATCCAAGGATTAGAGACGGTTGGATGCTGCTGTTTTGAGCAATGCAATATATTTATTTTCACTATGTTATTTATTTATGATTATCTTTAGGCTCAGCAAAGATTTGATGTCAGCTATTGCTGACTTTTTAGTTAATACTGAAATAGATCCCTTCTGGCTTTTTCTTTAAATACAATTTTAAAATGTCGATACAGTAGCTGTCCTTTTTTTAAATGTCTATGCTAAAGTTTTTATAGGCTGCTTTGTGTAGCGTGGTTCTACAAGCAAGTCAGTGCATTCATTCGGTGGTATCAGAGAGTTACAAGGGTCTGTAAATGCAATGAAAACAATTGGCCACAGCAAATCATTTATATTAAAAATGTAATTTTTACTTGTGAATACTTCATTACAAAGAATGTATTGAATAATTTAATTGATATATGTGTACACATATAAATCATTTGTCAAAACAGGGCTACATTTGATTAAATTATAAAAGGTATATGTGGTCAAATGAAGAGCCGTTTGGGAGCTCTTCTTGGTGAGCTGAGCCAAATGACGGAATTCCAATCACTACACACAACTGCTGACCAGCCGCAGCACCGGCAATTGAACTGCTGGGAGAAAAACTGACTATCAGATGTAACGTTATCTTTGATAATATTTCGTCTCCTCCTTTTTCGTCAACGAAAGTAAAGAGAGATTTTGGCAAAGTTTTTATTTAGTAAACTACATTTTTGTCTCGTCACTTTTGGTCAACGATATTGCATGTTGATTTTGTTACAGTTATTGTTTACTGACGTCGGTGCCGTCTCGTCATCGTCTCGTCTTAGTCATGGAAAAAAAGGTCGTTGTAGAACATATTTCGTCATAGTTTTAGTCAACGCAATTAACACTATAATACAAACATTCACAAAGATACACAATCAAACAGAAAACAGTACATAGAAAACATACTGTAGTGTAAGATATTAAATACAAAATATGAATGGTTGTGGTTGAGGATAACTTAACACAAATGTATCTCTTTCTCTGTTTGTGTGTGTGTGTGTGTGTGTGTGTGTGTGAAACAGCTGTAACAGCTGCACCAGCTGCAACAGCTGCAACAGCTGCAACACCTGCAACAGCTGCAACACCTGCATTGAATTTTGCTGCAACAGCGGCAACCCCTGCAACAGCTGCAACACCTGCATTGATTTTTGCTGCCACAGCTGCAACAGCGGCAACCCCTGCAACACCTGCATTGGATTTTGCTGCCACAGCTGCAACACCTGCAACAGCAGCAACAGCGGCAACACCTGCATTGATTTTTGCTGCAACAGCTGCAACACCTGCAACAGCTGCAACACCTGCATTGAATTTTGCTGCAACAGCGGCAACCCCTGCAACAGCTGCAACACCTGCATTGATTTTTGCTGCAACAGCTGCAACAGCGGCAACCCCTGCAACACCTGCATTTAATTTTGCTGCCACAGCTGCAACACCTGCAACAGCTGCAACACCTGCATTGATTTTTGCTGCAACAGCTGCAACCCCTGCAACAGCTGCAACACCTGCATTGATTTTTGCCGCCACAGCTGCAACAGCGGCAACTCCTGCAACACCTGCATTTAATTTAGCTGCCACAGCTGCAACACCTGCAACAGCTGCAACACCTGCATTGATTTTTGCTGCCACAGCGGCAACACCTGCAACAGCTGCAACAGCTGCAACACCTGCATTGAATTTTGCTGCAACAGCGGCAACCCCTGCAACAGCTGCAACACCTGCATTGATTTTTGCTGCCACAGCTGCCACAGCTGCAACAGCGGCAACCCCTGCAACACCTGCATTTAATTTTGCTGCAACAGCAGCAACAGCGGCAACCCCTGCAACAGCTGCAACACCTGCATTTAATTTAGCTGCCACAGCTGCAACACCTGCAACAGCTGCAACACCTGCATTGAATTTTGCTGCAACAGCGGCAACCCCTGCAACAGCTGCAACACCTGCATTCATTTTTGCTGCCACAGCTGCAACACCTGCAACAGCGGCAACAGCGGCAACACCTGCATTTATTTTTGCTGCAACAGCTGCAACAGCGGCAACCCCTGCAACACCTGCATTGAATTTTGCTGCAACAGCGGCAACAGCGGCAACCCCTGCAACAGCTGCAACACCTGCATTGAATTTTGCTGCAACAGCGGCAACCCCTGCAACAGCTGCAACACCTGCATTGATTTTTGCTGCCACAGCTGCCACAGCTGCAACAGCCGCAACAGCGGCAACCCCTGCAACACCTGCATTGAATTTTGCTGCAACAGCTGCAACAGCGGCAACCCCTGCAACACCTGCATTGCATTTTGCTGCAACAGCGGCAACCCCTGCAACAGCTGCAACACCTGCATTGATTTTTGCTGCAACAGCTGCAACAGCGGCAACCCCTGCAACACCTGCATTGAATTTTGCTGCAACAGCGGCAACCCCTGCAACAGCTGCAACACCTGCATTGATTTTTGCTGCCACAGCTGCAACACCTGCAACAGCGGCAACACCTGCATTGATTTTTGCAGCAACCGCTGCAACAGCGGCAACAGCGGCAACACCTGCATTGATTTTTGCAGCAACCGCTGCAACAGCAGCAACAGCGGCAACCCCTGCAACACCTGCATTGAATTTTGCTGCAACAGCGGCAACAGCGGCAACCCCTGCAACAGCTGCAACACCTGCATTGATTTTTGCTGCCACAGCTGCCACAGCTGCAACAGCTGCAACAGCGGCAACCCCTGCAACACCTGCATTGAATTTTGCTGCAACAGCGGCAACCCCTGCAACAGCTGCAACCCCTGCATTGATTTTTGCTGCCACAGCTGCAACACCTGCAACAGCGGCAACACCTGCATTTATTTTTGCTGCAACACCTGCAACAGCAGCAACAGCTGCAACACCTGCATTGAATTTTGCTGCAACAGCTGCAACAGCTGCAACAGCGGCAACAGCGGCAACACCTGCATTTAATTTTGCTGCAACAGCTGCAACAGCTGCAACAGCTGCAACAGCAGCAACCCCTGCAACAGCGGCAACACCTGCATTGATCTTTGCAGCAACAGCTGCAACAGCAGCAACAGCGGCAACCCCTGCAACACCTGCATTGAATTTTGCTGCAACAGCGGCAACCCCTGCAACAGCTGCAACACCTGCATTGATTTTTGCTGCCACAGCTGCAACACCTGCAACAGCGGCAACACCTGCATTGATTTTTGCAGCAACCGCTGCAACAGCGGCAACAGCGGCAACACCTGCATTTAATTTTGCTGCAACAGCTGCAACAGCGGCAACCCCTGCAACACCTGCATTGAATTTTGCTGCCACAGCTGCAACAGCTGCTACAGCGGCAACCCCTGCAACACCTGCATTGAATTTTGCTAGAACAGTCTACATCAAACTGTGTGAGTTCCACTCCTGGTTTGAAGAGGTCCTGGCAGCCAATCCCTAAAGAAATTACCAGTTTA